AGAATGGTTTGTAGGGTCACTTTTTTGAATGTCATTCTAAATACTTTAATTCTATAACCTGAACAGCCATTTCGAAGATGACAATTTGTAACTTATCAACCGGCAATTTCTTACCTTTTGTTTGTCTGTAATTTAGTATTATTTCTACCCCTTTTTTTTTTATCTCCATGTATTTTTTTTCCTTTTTTCGTTTCCTTTTCTTTAAATTAAAAAAAAAAAAGACATCATTTTCTCCAAAATAGCTGTTCCTATCATCCAATCTTCTCTGCCTCATTTCTGTTGAGCTCTTTTTCTGTCATTAGTTGTCAGTTTGTCTTCTTCATTTTGTTTTCTGCTCCATTCATTGTGGCCTTTCTGCCGCTATTTCTGGATTCTTTGTATTTTTCTTTTTTTAGAATATCCTGAATACTCTCTGTAGAGTTGAATTGGTGGTGGCATATTCCCCTAGTTCCTCTTTATCCTGGAAGCACCTTGTTTTTCCATCAATTTCCAGGGATAGTTGTGCAGGATATATCAATCTTGGGTGGAGATTATTATCTTTCAAAGCTTGATTTATTTCCCCCCACGCTCTTCGTGATTTGATGGTTTGTGCCGAGAAGTCTGCTGTAATTCTGATGGGTGTTCCCTTGTGAGTGATCTGTTTCTTGTCTCTGACAACTTTTAGTATTCTGTTCTTGTATTGGATTTCTGGAATTTTAATTATTATACGCCTAACTGTAGCTCTGTTTGGGTTGTAGGTGGCTGGGGTCCTGTATGCTTCATACAACTGAGTATCTTTAACTTTTGCTAAATTAGGAAAATTCTCCTGGATTATTTCTGTGAGTAGCTTTTGTAGTTTATTTTTTTGTGTCCCTACTTCTTCTTTTATGTTCTTAATTCTTAAGTTATAGACCCTCTTATCATCTTCTAGTCTTTGTATTATTACTATTTGTTTCTTTGTTATTTTTAAGAAGTTTTTCATTTCATGCTCCCATATTACAAATCTGCCCTCCAGTTTAGATAATCTGTCCTTAGTTTCTTTCAAGCTGTTATGCCAGCTTTCGATAGACTTTTTAGTTTCCTGGTAGTCTCTTTGAACCTGCTTCACGTGTTCTATGCTTTCTCTATTTTCTCCATTAAACAATTCTCCCCTCTTTTTCTGTTCTTCCATTCCACCATCTGTTTTTTCTTGGGTGGTGCTTAGCATTTCTCTAACTATTCTGCCTATGTCTAGCTTCAGGTCATTAATAACTTCATTCCTGAACTTATCTATGAGGCTCTCGAGATAGCGCTTTATGTCTATTGGTGCTGTGTCAGCTGTTGCCTCTTTCTCAGGACTGGGGGCCGAGGACCCTTTTTTGTCCTGCCTCTTCCCATATTCTTTGTTCCTTATATATGCAAGCGTATATAGGAGGCCCAGCTTCCTTCCCTGTCAGTCACAGTCTGATTGAATTGTGCCAGCTAAGTGTTCCTGCCCACTGCAGCACACCAGGAAGTTGCAGACCAGGCAGCCTATGCAGGGCCTGCCCCTCCAGGTCACCTTCAGGAGCTGGGACCTGGGCTGTGCTAGCCTACTGGGTCTCAGCCAGCAGCGTCATGTGGGCTAGGCACTGCTCACCAATCCTGCTTGAGAGGGGGATTGGTGACTGAAGTCACTGCAGTGCCCTGTTCTCACAAGTCTTCCCAGTCCCAGAATGTCCTCTGTTGGAGTCTCCTAGACCATGGAAGAAACCCAGTTTTCCCTCACTCACCGGAGGTGGATGCACGGCTCCCCGCCCGTCCCGCTCTCAACTCCATTCACTGATCCCCGTTTTCAGAGCTTCCGTGTGTCTCTCTACCTGCCGAGCCGATGCAGATGCAGCGGGGGCGGCAGGAAACCCAAATCGCGGCTTCCAATGGCGCAGGCTCCAGCTTCCACACTGAGGCTTTCTCTGTTCCTGTTATAGCACCAGGATTGCATTCCCAGTTGGTTTCTCTCAGCCCAGTTCGTTCTTGGGTCACCAGGGCATATCTCCTCTTGCTTATGATTCCTTACTCAGCACCATTCCTGAATTCTCAGCTGGGTGTTTCAGAGAGCCTCCGTAGCTGCTGCTATCTGTCCACCATGTTCTCCCAGAAGTCTCCCACTTAGTTTTTAAACCACAACCCCAGTTTCTATATGGTAATTTGCAAAGCCAGGTAATCAATAAACTTCCATAGTAATTGATTAATGCTAGGTCTTCTAGAAGTATGCTAAGAGGGAGCTAGCTTCATGCTCATTACAAATCAAGTATCAGCTAATCACTGAGAAAAGATAATTCCATTGTTATTAAAAAATACTCTTTATTAATGGTTACATGTTGTTATAGTTTAATACTGTTTATTGAAATTTTAGTTTATAATTCATATCAGTCATGTTTATCTCACAGACTCAATATGAATTTGAGTAAATCCTGTTTGAGTAGACAACTTTTGGAGTTGTGGAATCTACATCATCAGTTATATTTACCCCTGCTACTAACATTACCAAAATTTCCCCTGCTTGAAAGCACATGTGCATGTGTGTGTGTGTGTGTGTGTGTGTGTGTGTGTGTGTGTATTCATCTGGCGAAAAATCTCATAGAATTCCCGTCAAGTTTCCAGAATTTATTAACTCAACATTAAAGACTAAGGTCCACTGAACAAAATATTCAAGGGGAGAATTTTAAACTATGAGAGGGATTAGTGTACCCACCATATCCATGAAGAGAGGCTGAGGGTTCTATGGCCCAAGAGGGAGCCCAGCGCCTGGATGGTGAAGATCTCAGTTTCCTTAGTCCAGGCCACAGTCCAGGCTGTGAACAAAAGGAAACTGCAGCCGACACATGCTGCCCTCATGCTGACACCTCTTGCAGTAAACAAAATAAAACAGCCTGAGCATGTAGATTTGCAAGTTGGTGTCCAAACCAGGGGCTTGTGATGGCCTTTCTTACACACTGGAGTCCACAAAAACAAAAGGAGATGCTGATGAAGAAGTTGTTCAAGACCGAATCAGAGTGTTCATTGCAAAGAAGGCACGGTGGACACTTTTAGGAACAGAAATGGACTATGTTGAAGACAAATTATCTAGTGAGTTTGTCTTCAGTAACCCAAACATCAAAAGAACCTGTGGCTGTAGAAAAAGCTTTAACGTCTGAAACCTTAGGACTCTTCAGGCTCTGAAGTGCTCCAGGCAAACTCCCAGGAGCTTTGCAGCTTATTGAAGAAATCATGTAACTGTCAGTGCTTAAGGCTTATATCGTGTGGCCACCAGGTGGGGAAATAAAGTGATGCATTTTAAAAATAAATAAACTAAGAGAGGAATGGGAAGTAGTTTAGTCTTGTCCTTGCTCAAGAGATTTTCGTGTTAACTGAATTATGAAATCCCAGAAAGAGCAAATTAACATTATCTTTCTTATGCTTCAGTTGTCTAGATGCACTGTTGTCTTAGTTACTTTTTACTCATTGCTGAGACAAAATACCTGATGCCCAAAGTTGGGAAAGGAAAGGTTTATTTCTTGCAGTTTTTGGAGGTTTCAGTCCATATTCAGTTGGCTCCAAGGCAGGGTGGCATGGTGGGGCCACAGTTCACAGTGGCTGCAAACAGCAAGACAGAAACCAGCAAGAAAGAGAGACATGCCTTCTTCCACCCATTACATTGTATGCTGGCTCCACTCCTAGGTGGGTGCAGCACTGACACCATCAGTCTAGGTGCAAGACAATGAACCAATAACAAACGCACAATGCAAATGCATGGGGCCTGGGGACCACAGACATAAACCATGGCAACTATGCTCACCCAATAGGCATTTACAGAGCAACTATGACTATTAGTTAAGTCATTAAAGTAAAATAGTTTGCAAGCATAGCATTTGGAGTCAGGTAGCTGTGTAGGAATTCAGTTCTGTCACTTAATGATAATGAAAACTCAGTAATCATGTTGACATCATTTGCTTATTTTTATGACTTTTTTCTTTTACTATTCTTCCCCTTATTCACTCTAATCACATTGTTCTTTTTAATCTTTTATTAGTGAAGCCTATTAATTTTATAAAATATTGGGTTTCAATGCATATATTTCAATAATATTCATGCCCCTTTACCTTGCCTTGTGTGTCACTTCTGCTTATTACCTTTCTCATATCTAATAATAGCATTCTTTCTATTTTTTGTCATCTTCTTCAGTATCCATATATCAGGAAGAACATGCAGTGCTCCTCTTTCTGAGTCTGGCTTATTTTACTTCACTTGATATTCTCCAATTCCATCCATTTTCCTGAAAGTGACAGAACTGCATTCTTTCTTTAAGACTGAATCATATTCCATGTGTATAGATACATCTTCTTTATCGTTTCTTCTGCTGGTGGGCACCTTATGCTGGCTCCATGTGTGGCTATCATGAATTGCACCACGATAAATGTGGGCATGCAGGTATCCCTATAGTATATTGATTTTAATTGCTTGAATTATGTACACAGTGGTATATAACAAAAAAATAGCTACTTTTTGTTAGAAACCTTTATACTGATTTTATGGTGGCTGCAAAAATTTACGTTCAGCAGCAGTGTATAAAGGCCTCCTCCCAATCCACATCCTCACCAGTACTTACTGTTTTCTGCATCTTTGATGATAGTCATTCTGGCAGAAGTGAGATAAAATCTCAATGTGGTTTCCATTTACATTTCCCTAATGGCTATAGATGCTCTCTTTATTGAATTTGTGTGTGTGTGTGTGTGTGTGTGTGTGTGTGTGAGAGAGAGAGAGAGAGAGAGAGAGAGAGAGAGAGAGAGACCAGGTCTTGCTGTGTAGTTCAGACTGGCCTTGAATTCACTACAGAGCCCAAGCTGGCCTCTAACTAACTCATGGTATTTCTCCTTCCTCAGCCTCCCAAATGCTGGAATTACAGGTGTGTGCCACCATGCCTGGCTTGAAATTGTTGAAAACACCAAGAAGCATCCCTTCTCCAGAGTTTTGTTCTTGCTATCTGTCGATGTCGCTCCCGGCCGGCAGGAAGGACACGACAAAGTCTGGCAGTGGACAACCTTTTCTTTTATTTTCTCTCCGTACAGCCTGCCCTGGGATCGCTCCCAGCCGAAGCCTCCTCTGGTCCGCTCCCCGCGGCTCCTTCCGTGCTTCGCTCCGAAGCCTCTACCGGTCCGCTCTCCGCGGCTCCTTCCGTGCTTCGCTCCGAAGCCTCTACCGGTCCGCTCTCCGCGGCTCCTTCCGGGCTTCTACTTCCCCCCAGGGGTGGCACCAGTATATATACGGATACAGTGTCCAATCATATTAAAGTAAGCAAGGCAAGCTGATTGGCTAACATATTATTGAGCGGGTTGTTTACGCGGTAAGCAGGAAACTAACGTGCTCGATGGGAGGGGTAATCTAACTCAGGCTTTACTCTTTACCACAGGCCACATGGTCGCTATATGCGGCGGCTCGGCAATGTGGTGGCTCCCAACATCTCCCCCTTTTTTATTTTAAATAAGTCTACGCATCGCAGCCCGTCCTGAATTGAGTGTAGAGGCCTATGCCCTGATAGGAGGCCCACCAAGGGCTCTCGGCGTCGGCCCGGGTCGGCCGTCCCCGAGTCTGCCGAGGCCCCGAGGCCCTCGTCCTTTTTCCAGGGCCAGGAAGGAACCGGACAGAACCTGGATGCACACAGGCATACACTCATGTCGCTCCACATGATCCCCCCGGGGCGACATTTGGTTTGGGCGGAACCTAGTAATTCAGCGGCTTTCGTGCGGTATGGGGTAGGGCCTGTCTTAGGTTGAGTCATGCTGGGGAGGCATGCTCTTACCCGTCATTGACTCATCTACCCTGCTATATCATAATTTTTTAGAGGAGGAGTGTGGGAAGCTCACCGTCCCTAGACTCGGTCGTAGGCTAGGCGAGCGAGCCATGCATATGCCTGAGGATCTTCTTGTCCATTTCGGGCTACCGCTATTTCTATTCATCTTGTTGGTTGGTCTGTGATGGATCTCCGGTAGGGCAGGTCTGATCTTCAGTCGAGGGCTTTGTCGCCCGTGTCAGTCTCTCCGGTACCCACAGTGGTTCTCGTCCCGATTCCTGCAGAAAAACACAAACCGCGCCTCGGTTCCAGCTGATTACCGGATCCGGGCCCATCCATTGTTATGCCATAGATAACCGCGCCTTTGGAGGCAGGCCTTGGCTTACTCCCCCTTTTTGTTTTTTATTTTTTATTTTTTATTTTTATCTTTTTCGTTTTTTTTTTTTTTTTTTTTTTTTTTTTTTTTTTTTTTTATTGGTACCAGGGATCGAACTGGCGATTGCCTGCTTACAAGGCAGGCGCTTATGCCGCTAAGCTAAATCCCCAGCTCCCATTTCCTCGACCGGCGTTTTTCTCAGCCTGCTCGGCAGAGAACTCTGTGTACCAGGCTCGCCAATCCAGGTAACTACCCGAGGGCAGACACGCCTTTGCCAGCTGAATCCAGTCCGCGGGGGTGAGGGGCCCAGAAGACAGGTTCTCCAGCATGGCAATGGTGTAAGGCGCAGTCGGCCCAAAGGTTGTAACTGCATTTTTAAGTTCTCTAATCTGCTTTATCTCAAAAGGCTCCCATGCATTACGTCCCTGGCCCATAGCTACTTGTACAGGAAATATCCCGTAGGGGCCACTATCTATCCCAGGTGGTGGATGTACCTCATGAGACAAACGTCCCCCCTGCCAAAGCCGCCTGTAAAAATACCGACCCACCGGCGGCGGAGCATAAGACGGCGGCCGTGATTGGGCGGAAAATGGGGGCCCGTGCATCACTTCCTGTTCTGGCGAAAGGGGAGGGAGCTCCCACGCGGCCGCCTCGTGGCGAGGGATCGCTTCCGGGAACAGCCCCCAAGGTGGGGGCAGAAGGCTTCGCCTCCCTCTCGCGCCAGGGGGCGCTCAGGAGCTCTCTACTCCTCCGCAGACCAAGTTGAGTGGAGCGCAATTCGCGGCGCAACGCTGGGAAAGAACCCTGCGACTCCTTATCGAGCGGCCTATCCTCTTGGCATCTAGGCTCCTTGGTCTCATCGTTGTCTAAGCCTTCCTCGTTCTCGGAGTCAGACGACTCCGAGGCCTGAGCCCCGTCTTCCTCCTTTATATCTTTGTCTCCTTTGATGGACCCCTCCCGGGAGCTCCCTGACTGGGCCTGTTCGAATGCCCTACGCACTTTAATGAGCTCTTGAGAACCTTCCCTACAACCACCCTCGCTCTTCAAGCATGCATATATCATTTCCCACAGTGGCCGAGCGAAGACCGAAGCCCCGCCCTCCCTTTCCGCTAGAGAAAGATCCCTGCCCAACTTCTCCCACGAGGGCAGGTTTAAGTGCCCTGTGGGCAAGAACCAGGGAGCGAAACTATCAATCTCCTCAAAAAAGCTCTCCAGCGTTTTGCGTCCCACCTTGAGGTCTCTGGACTTTAAGAGCTTCCGGAGGACCTGTACCAAGGGCTGGGTGTCGTTACTCGGTACGTTACCCATATTTAATATGTTACTCACCGCGTGAGGCCCAAAAATCCGCCACTTACGCGTGAGCCTGAGGGGAGTCTAAAAACCCTGTAGGTGCGCGCCACCCAGGGCCCAGGTTTATCCCCTACTCACCTGTCTCGCAGTGCTGTATCAAGGAACGTTGTCCACTACCACGTCTCGGGGGTGATCAGTTGTTCCCCGTGCGGGCCACCAAATGTCGATGTCGCTCCCGGCCGGCAGGAAGGACACGACAAAGTCTGGCAGTGGACAACCTTTTCTTTTATTTTCTCTCCGTACAGCCTGCCCTGGGATCGCTCCCAGCCGAAGCCTCCTCTGGTCCGCTCCCCGCGGCTCCTTCCGTGCTTCGCTCCGAAGCCTCTACCGGTCCGCTCTCCGCGGCTCCTTCCGTGCTTCGCTCCGAAGCCTCTACCGGTCCGCTCTCCGCGGCTCCTTCCGGGCTTCTACTTCCCCCCAGGGGTGGCACCAGTATATATACGGATACAGTGTCCAATCATATTAAAGTAAGCAAGGCAAGCTGATTGGCTAACATATTATTGAGCGGGTTGTTTACGCGGTAAGCAGGAAACTAACGTGCTCGATGGGAGGGGTAATCTAACTCAGGCTTTACTCTTTACCACAGGCCGCATGGTCGCTATATGCGGCGGCTCGGCAATGTGGTGGCTCCCAACAGCTATCTCCTTTGCCTGTATACTTTTTCTTTGAAATCCTGTGCCTAAATGTCATCACATCAGAGGACTTTTTCCTAGTCACTTTTTCCTATAAAACAACATTCATTCACATTTCCCTTATTCCTTGTCCCTTCTACCTCACTTAACTTTTCTACATGGAATTGACATAGATTTATAGTTTTTATTGTTTTTAAAAAATAACAGTGACAACTTAAGCACCATGAAAATAGAGTATTTGTTCAGTCCACTATGTATCCCCAATAGTGGATCAAAATAAGACATCAATAAATACTTATTAAACAATAGATATTGAATTAATGAAACAGCATATCTTCCTGTCTGGCTTAACTCACTATGGACCCCAAGTTGGTGTCTAGCTCACTTTTGTAGAATTATAAAAATGAAAATATTTATAACACTTTGTAGAGTGCTACATAAATGGTATATACTTCCTATTTTAAAATAATATTTATGTCAGTGTGGATCATTTTCACAATGCCAAATAAAATTTTCAACTTAAAACATCAAGAAGAAATTCACATTTCATATATTTAATCCTTAATATAGAAACACTGATTGACTAGGAGATTAAAAGTCAATTACATAACCCTACATAACTGAAGATTTTCAGAACTTTTTAAATTTTTAATATCAAAGTTAATGTTACAAAATTAGCTTTTTCTCTATTCCAGGATAAATGTAAATTTAAATAGCATCTTAAATTTGTTATAAGAACAAAGTTACATAAGTGATTATAGGTGTGAAAAGCCAGTATTCATGCCAGTCCAATTCTTATATTGGTATCTAATTTCCATCACTGCTACTCTTTAAAAAGTTTATAGAATCATCAAATATTCTAGATAGTACAATTTTTTATTAGGTGAGTGAACAGCTTTAAACTTTACCTCTTAATTTGTTTTGGCTATTCATTGATTCCAGAGATCATGAAAATTAATACTACCTTTCTGACACTCTCAGCAGCATCTAAAGAACAACATTGCAGTAAAACTAAAAACAAGTTTAAGCTCCCTTTTAACTTCTTGTGTCAATCTGCAATTAAATCTTTGTACTTGCATCTTAAGCCATAAGAATTATTCTAGACTAGCTCTTCTAGACTAGAAGAGCTACTACTTTGCATGCAAAGTAGTGAGAAAATACATGCAAAATTCAAAAGTCCATATAAAAATGCTACTTTAAGTATTACTGCAATTAGACCAAATATTCAGATTTATATTAAATGATTGAAAGTCTGATTAAGGGAGTTCAAAGTTTTTTTCCCCCAGACTCATCCTAAGAGGATCAGCATATACTATGAAATATAATGGATTATGTACTCTAGATTAATCCTATCTTGCGATAGGATCATAAATGGTATTTAAATAGACACAATCAATTCACAATAAGTTTTACTCAAGGATAATTTTCTTTTTAAAAATTGAAGTTTCAAATCAGCTAAAAATATGCTCAGTTCTTTCATTCTTTAACTGTGTTTCTCATTGTTTGCTGAATGTATAGAATCATAATAATGGCTTACATTTCAGTAGTCTCTTTTAAAAATATGTATTTCTCAACTGACACTCTGATAGATGACCTTGTTTAGATAAGACTGGTATTATCGCCATGACTAATAGGTAGCAAAGGCACTACTCAAGCACGGTTCTTCCTGGAAAATACTTCAACTGACTTCAAACCTAAAAGTAAGAAAAATGCTGGCATCCTGGACAAACACAAGATTGGGCTTAATTTCTGATACAATGAACTTATAAAGATCATTGGTGTGTAGTAGCCTAAGCCAGAATAGTGTTAGGCTCTTCTTTTGCGATTTTAGGCTTCTGACTATCCCAGTGCTGCTTAAGAATCTTTCTGCTCCAAAACAGATCATCTTGAGTACCCTCTACATAACTCAGGGTAGGCATTTTGTACACTTCATTTGAAGCACAAGACTGACACCTAGTGTACTGACTGATTTCCTTCTTTCTTTCTTTCCTTCATTTTATCCTGCCTGGAAAGATTGTTAAGGTATAGTTAATAAAAAAAAATTCGATGGTAACTTAAATGCTAAGTATTATTCTAAGCACCTTAAATGTACCATCTCATTTATGTTCATCTATGAAGAACACCTTATTATCATCCCTACTTCACAAATAAGGAGGATTTTCAAACTTGATTTTTGAAAAAGATAGGATTCAAAACCAGTGCCTGACTCTGAAGCTAATTGCTCACTAGTTTTAAGCAATCAACAAGAATTGTTTGGTTAGATGGTTAAATTAGTACATACATGTTCCCTTTGAAGAAATGTTTGTAAAGAATGCCTGTTAGAGTTTGGGTAGAAAATATAACATATCTGAGGCTATAGCTTTAAGCCAGCCCTTTTGTGGCCCTTTTCTACAGCAGAATGTCAGCCTCAAAGTTGTCCAGGTCCAGACTTCTGGGAAGATGGCAGAACAGTAAGCAGCAATAAATCAGCCTTTACAAGATTCAGAATCCAGACATTGGAAAACACAACTTGGAGAAGAAAAACAGGATCCCTGGGACCCAGGAAGACGCTGACGGGAAATTGAAGCCTACAAAGAAGCTGAAGAGAGAAACCACAGTGCAGAAAAGGAGGAGCAACCTGCACGTCCACCAGGCTCCTGGGCAGGACAAAGAGAAAGGAAGACTGAATCTGTAGAGACACAGTGAAAGCGTGATGCTGGAGGCCTCTGTGGAGAAACACACTACGGAACAGAACATGGATGCTATACACAGCAGCTGGTGAGTGACTCCAGCACCAGTGACTTCTGTGCCGAGCATGGTGTTGTGTGCCTACAATCCCAGCACTCAGGAGACGGAGACAGGGGACTGCCATGAGCTCAAAGCCAGCCTGGCTACATAGTGGGTTCAAGGCCATACAATTACCCAGCAATGACCTGTCTTTTCATAAATAAATAAATCACAAATGACAGCCATATTGGCGGGAGAGTGTGCTTGATCAGATGCTTTTTAGGGAAGTGCTAAGTGAATGTGAGGCTCAGAGCAGCTGCAGGCTGGTCTCATCTCAGGACTCCAAGTATTAAACTCCTACAGTGACTGGACGAGGTGTAACCATGGGAGATGTCCCTGGTCAAGGAGCCATGGTCAGTCTCACAAAATTCACACAGAGTGCTATAAGCTAAATGACTCAGGCCTATCTGAATGACTGAAGGCCAGGTTCAAGTGGACCTTCTGTAGGTTTGAAAGTCCCAAAATCAGTGTCATGACACTGTCTTGTAGCTAGTTTTCTGATCAATATCCAGCATGGAGCTGGGCTCTGATGGCCTCCCTTGTCTACAGTGAGAGCAGAGTCATGCCTTAATTGAACACTGCCACAAAACTATAGGCCCAAAAAGATAACAGGCTTGAAAATGCAGAGGAAAACATTTTTTTCTTTGCTGTTGATCTTCTTTGGTTGCTGTTCATTTGGGGTTTGTTTGTTTGTTGTGGGGGTTTTGTTTGTTTGTTTTTAATTACTTCTTTTTGGGGTGTGTGTGTGTGTGTGTGTGTGTGTGTGTGTGTGTGTAAGCATTCTTTTTAGTTTTTAGTTTTGTTTTGTCCCCGTTTTTGTTTTTTCTCTCTTTCCCTCCCTCCTGTTATTTTTATCAGTTTCCTGAGGCTTGGGGAATCTTCCTTTGTCATTCAGTTGTTTTTCTAATCTCTTTTTCTTCTTCCATTTCTCTATTTTCCTTCTTTTCCCTTATAAATTTTCTCCCTTTACGGTAAAATTGCTCTACTGAGTGAATATTTATTGTATATAATTTCTGATTTTTCTTAGCTTTTGTTACACAACTATAAATATTTTACTTAGTATTAAAGGTGGCAAATTACTGGTTATCACAGTTTGTCGTTTTCCATTGTGTATTTGATGCCATTGTTGTTACTGATTGTACTATGTTAGTCAAGGTGACATAGTTTTTGCGATCAATTGATCTTAGTTGTTTGTGAATACCTAGATTGTCTGATCATAAGAAATATTACAGCCTAGTACCAAAGAACAGGGCTGTAAGTCAGATAGGCCACTATTGTTCATCCCTAACAAACAGAAGAGTTGGGTTACTGGGACAGACTCAAAGGCCAAAAGCCAACTACACTAGAAGTCATCTCTGAAAAATAATCATTTCCTTAAGTGGTCTTGATACTAGTAAAAAAGGTACCTACCATAAGCAATTGACAAAAATCTAATTTTAAAAAATAGAAAATTAGAAGACATGGGAGCAAAGTACAACCCAATTCTCCCAACTTAACTCAACACAGATCCAGGGGACACTGAGGTAGATGGAAACAAAAACTACCCTGCTAATTTTCTAAAATAGTAGTAGAACAAGTAACAGATGAATATGTCTCTGAACAAAACCAAAACAGAAGTAATCACATATATAAGTAAAAAGATGATGACCATCATGAAGGAGATGGTTAGTGAACATAGAGAAGTTACAGATTTTAAAAATAGAGGAGCATAAGAAAAACACAGAAACTATGAATGTCCAATATAGGAAAGAACTGGGGTTCGCAAAAGAGATTCAAATTAAAATCTAAAAGATCGAAAATTTTGTTGAAAGTAAATGCAGCAGAATCAGCCAATGGGGAGGCAGAATATTGGGTCTAGAAAACAGGGTTGTGGTTAGTGGGCATCAAACGAAAGATTTCTTAAGAATAGCAAGAGATTCAGGGCTAGAGATTTAGCTCAGTGGTGTAAGTGCCTGCATGGCAAGTGTGAGGTCGTGAATTCAATCCCCAATACCAAAAAAAAAAAAAAAAAAAAAACAAAAAAAACAAAGAACACCTGGAAAACTTCATGATCACCAAATCAGTGTTCCAGAAAGATGTGAA